ATTAGTTTAAACAACCACTGGATTTCGATTTTACCTTTTCGTTTTCAGACCCATTCCTGCCTCTGACGGCAAACAATTACACACACTATTTCGGGTTCGTCCTCAGATAGCCCCCGGACAGTCCACAGCCTGTCCTTCGTTGAATCCCTTCCCTTGTTCCCTCTTCGGGCGCACCGCGCTCCTTACGCCTACAAAACTCGTGTGGAGAATTCCGTAGGTTGTCGCAAGATGTCTGTCACCCACGCGCCTTCCCGTTGTCGGTCGCTTCGCTCTTGCTCTTTTTGTTTCCTAGTATTTTCTCAGCCGTTTTGGAGGAAAGAGCAATTCCGTAGTGTGCAAGGTTCAATTCCCCCCCCTTCCTCCCACCCCGGTCCAGGACTGGCAAGATCCAAGCTTGTGGCCGGTGGCTATTTGCTATTTTGTTTTCTAAGAAACATGTGTAATACGTCCTTCACCCCCCCCCTTCGTTCCTTCTCTTCCCTAGTCGCGCCTTCCCTCTTATCACCCATAGTCTTTGGCTGGCTTCCTTTCTAGAGACAATCCTCGAATGGGTCCAGCCCCATTCTGTATTGTTTCCCATATTTCGTACTTTGTACATATAGATGCTGTGTTCCGGAACCTTTTCTTGTTCTTTGTTTTTTGTTCTCCAGACTTCTCTTCTCGACCTCCACCTCCATCTCTATTCCCTCAACTTCTGATCTCCGCGTCTTCATCCGCCTGCTCGCGTCCATTTCATCTTTTGCATTCCTTACGACGTGCACACACTTCGACAACCTACGCTCCTTTCTCGTTTTTTTCCCCTTCTCGTCTCATTCTTCACTACTCGCCCAGTCATCATCGCCATCTAGACTGGTTCTTTCTTGTATCTCGACCGTTAATAGTTCCGCCAACCATAAACTGTCGTACCAACCAGCAGTGACGATTGTTACACACAGGCAACCAAAAAGGGCGTTTTTACGCCTCTTTTGCCCTCACATACGATACTCAACCGACACCAGAACCGCAGCCTCTCACACTCTCATCCTCCCCTACAAACCTCATCCACCATGTCATATTCCTGGACCGGCGCGCCGGCCGTCTTCAATGGCACAGATTCTGGCACCGGCGGTGATTCCGGTATGTGTAAACCGTCTGCATCGGGTGACGATAGCATTTTCTCTTGTCCTCGAGGTAACTAACAGCCTCAAAGTCAGCGAAAACCTCAACCAATGGTATCAATCTGGTGACCAGGCATTCATCATCGTCGCCTCTTGCATGGTCCTCATCATGGTACCCGGTATCGCCTTCCTCTACTCCGGCCTCGCAAGACGAAAGTCGGCTCTCTCACTGATCTGGGTCTGTATGATGTCGTTTAGTGTGATCGTCTTCCAGTGGTACTTCTGGGGCTATTCGCTCGCCTTCAGCAGTACAGCAACCAACGGTTTCATCGGCGACTTGCACCATTTCGGTCTTCTCAACACCCTCGCTGTCCCCTCGCCCGGCTCGCCTCTCATCCCCGAGCTGCTGTACTCCTTCTATCAGATGCAGTTTTGTGCAGTCACTGCGGCCCTCGTCGTTGGCGCCACGGCCGAGCGCGGCCGTGTCATCCCCGCCATGGTGTTCACGTTCTTCTGGGCCACCATCGTCTACTGCCCCATCGCCTGCTGGGTCTGGAATGTCAACGGCTGGGCTTTCAAGTATGGCGTCCTCGACTATGCTGGCGGCGGCCCCGTCGAGATCTGCTCTGGTGTGTCCGCTCTAGCCTATTCGTGGGTGCTCGGCCGCCGCAACGAGAAGATGATGCTCAACTTCCGCCCGCACAACATTTCTCTGATCACGCTCGGCACCATCCTGCTCTGGTTCGGCTGGCTGGGTTTCAACGGCGGCTCTGCCTTTGGCGCTAACCTGCGTGCCACCATGGCCTGTTGGAACTCGTGCCTCACGGCCATGTTTGCAGCCATGACCTGGTGTCTGCTTGATTTCCGCCTGGCCCGTAAATGGTCGCTGGTCGGCTGGTGTTCCGGCACCATTTCGGGCCTCGTTTCCGCCACGCCTGCCTCGGGTTTCATCACGCCCTGGGCCAGCATCATCCTGGGTATTGTCACGGGCATCGCTTGTAACTTTGCCACCAAGGGTATGTTCATATACATATTGCCTTTCCAATCTTTCATGACACTTTCCTCTAACACCCAACAGTGAAGTTTGTTCTCCGTATCGATGATTCCCTCGATGTGTTCGCGGAGCACGCTGTCGGCGGCATGGTCGGCCTTACGTTCAACGCGTTCTTCGCTGCCGACTACATCATCGGCCTCGATGGTGTCAACAACGGTGTGACCGGCGGCTTCATTAACCACAACTGGCGCCAGCTCTACGTCCAGATCGCCTATATCCTCGCTGCCACCTTGTACGCTTTCACCGTATCCGCCCTGCTCGCCAAGGCGATCGACCTCGTGCCTGGCTTGCACCTGCGCGCCAGCGAAGAGGCCGAGCTGCTCGGTATGGACGACGACCAGCACGGCGAGTTTGCGTACGACTACGTCGAAGTCCGTCGCGACTACCTTGCTTGGACCCCCGCTGAGAAGGATCCCAAGGAGGACGGCATCCGCATCATCCCGCAGCACGGCATCGAGGGCCATCAGATGCTCATGAACGGCACCCGCCCGCCATCGTTGGCTGGTGCCTCGACTGCCGATCAGGAGGAGCGTAACTACCTCAACAGCCAGAGCAGCAACGGCAAGGAGAAGAGCCTTAGCGGCAGCAACAGCCAAGGCATCCATCAACATCTGCATGCCATCGCCGACCAAGAGGATGCTGTGCAGTCCGAGAAGGTGGTTCTACCATCCTCGCCACCCGCGCCGACGCAGTAGATTGTCTTGCCTTCTTATTTTCCTATCTCACATTTTTCTATCAGTTCCACATCTGCCTTCTCTCTTATTCGCCACCCATCCTCATTTGGATTTCAGGTTAAATCCAATATGAACAGGATGGTACGGTTCCATCTTCAGATAAAAGTCGGTCCTGTCTATTGTCTATTTTGTTGCATACTGCAGCGTTTCTTCTTGTCTTGTCTTAGCAACCATCGCGCAGCCTTATCGTCTTTTTTTCATTGTCTTTTCTATCTTAAATCTTTATGGGGAACACATGTGCTTTTGGGACCTACGATTTTTTTTTTTGGATGGCATTTTGTCGAATGGTCAAATACCCACTCGCTAGCATATATACTTGGATTTTCCTTTCGTCCTTCAGAAAATACATTTCTTTACTAAGATGCCGCCTCGGATCGTCTTCTCCCTAGCACCTTATTATCTCTATCCGTATCTAGTTTCTCAGAGTCATAGCCAAGCCTGCTGCGTCAATCTTGACACCACCCCATTATCACGGGCCTTTCGGGACCGTTCTGCACATAACTTACGCAGACATATCATTTCCGTTCGAGCAACACCTCTGTCCCTGCCTACTCAGGATGGTCACAAGACTGTCCACTGTGCAGGTAGGAAGTTCTCATGACAGTGTGGACCACGGAGCCTGGCCATCAATCTGACGCAGCTCATCTAGTGCCGTCTTAGCCGTCCGTGACTGATGCGCTGTGTTTGATTCTTGTTGTGGTCCAGGTCCGCCCTCACGACCATCAGCCTTAGCAGCGCCACGGACAATCGAAAATACCACTGCAAAATGAGAAAGAAACGCTCCATTGCAGCACGCAGCATGCAGCATACAACAGGGCCACACAATGTGATACGACAGTGGCAATCACCAACGTATATACGAGATGCAACGCCCAAATCGTCCACTGATGCCAGCTCCTGTTACAATTTGTCCAGTCAACAAACACGCAAACACTTGCCTTATCTCGACAAATCAGAGGGCCCGAGCTTTACTTTCAGAATAGCTCCGAATTGGATACAACGTTCGGCCCGGTTCCCAAGCGCAGTTTTCTGATCAGTTCACCCACTACTGAAAGTCGTAGCCTCTTGTCTATGCATTTTACGCTACAGAGTGCCGAGTACGACATAGAGGGCATGGACATGTTGTCTCCTTTCGAATTTTGGCTTAGGCTACCTGCAGGAGGAACTGACAGCAAGGGCGGCATCTTATCTCTGCAGCAAATTGCTAGGATGCGGGCGGCCCACGTCGGGGCACCGGGCGAGCCAGTCGCTGGGCGCTCTCCCGGGTCCCACGGCCCACGGCCCACCGACCTTTCCCTTCTAGGCACTTGCAGGCCATCCAGCCTTATCTCTTCCTCTCAACAACACCTCATCCAAGGACGACTCGTAAAGATACGGACAATCAGCACTTTCACCCCTTCCTTTTTCTCTCTCTCCTCGATCGAATACTCCGTACTCCGCGTTTGCAGTCATTGATAGCTCCATCGTCCCCAGTCATCGTCTTGCGATCTCGCTCTAGGGTCCTTTCCATGCACACGCCCCCTCCTTTTCAAAGGTCCTTTGCGCCATTTCTGTTTTTTGTTCTTCTTTTTTTCCTTTCCCCATGGTTCCTTTAAACTAGCCTCCAGTTTTGCTTTCTCGGCTCCGCCGTGTATTTTCACAGTTCACTTCTGAAGTGTGAGGGGATCCTGCTGCCCTTACCACATCGACCACGTCGACCCCTGTCTTTTCTTTCATCTCGCCTACTCCGGTACTTATGTGACAGCCTTGTCTCCCGGGTCGGATGATCTACCCGCTTTTTTTTCTTTTTCACGATCCTGTGAGCCGTCTGAGTTTTCACGCTGGGAAAAGTAAAACGAAATGCAAACAACCTCCGATGTTCGCTCTTCAATATGAGGTCACATGCTTCATGACTTGACATTCTCCGGCCATATATCCGGCATGGTACCTTCAAAGTTTGAATATCATGTGCTCCGTAGAGGTTACAAATTTTTACACGGCCAACCATATTCCTATCATGGTCACATTCTTGTTAGTTTTCATCGACATCGTATCTAATGATCATCTCAGGCTAACGGTCCGTTGGCCTCTTCTTCTGCCAGGCGATCATAAATCATTTAGCACATTCACAGTCGTTTAGAGGCCATCCATCTCCCTCTGCAGCTTCTGCAGCCACTGCAGGACCTGCCGAAGGGTGGGCCGGCCATGAGCCGACTTTTCGACGGTTGATCCGTCTATGTTTCGCTCAGCATGTTCGTCCTCGCCGATGACATGCGCTCTGATGGTGTCGTCGTCGTCGTCGTCCTTGTTACCATCTTCCTTCACACCGGCAAGTCTTGCATTCCGTTCCTTGACCCACTCGTCGCCCTCGGCCAGCTTGATTCGCCAATAGTCACGCGCCTTCGACTTGAGGCCGTCGCCGACGAGCTCATAGGATGGCTCACCATTGCTTTCGGTGGCGGCGGTTGTTCCGCGAGTACGTTTTAAGTAAATCTTGCTATTCTGGCGCATAAATTTGCTCTGTTCCTTGGCACCAACGTCACCAAAGCACTTGAGGATCATCGACTTGACATCCGGCGGCGTTAACCGGAATGCTGGGAACTCGAGCTCCGGCTCCCGTGGGTACGACATCCACACGGCGCCACGGTGGGGCGCGCTCATGCCTTCAAAGATGCACCACAGCAGGCGGCCGAGCATGTAGACCATGGAGGCTTCTTGCTCAGACTTGGTCAGGCAGTTGTAGACTACGTTGTAACCATATTCTGGATTGCTGTATCTGGTGTCCTGCCCGAGGCGGATCAGCGGATGCCGGCCGATTTTGCTGAGCGGTGGTGGATGGACAGATGTCTTCCAACGCCCGGCCGCGTCCACGGCCTTCGCCGCCGCGGCCGCTTCGTAGCAGGAAATCAGCCTCTGCTGAAACTGGAAGCTAACCTCCTCTGGGATGCCGTAGACAGTATCGTCGTCGTTGTCAAAGGCGATTACTCGTATACTCTCAATGTAATCAACCTCGGGCGCCGAGAAGCTGCACCACACGCCGCGCTGTTCAAAGTCAACGAGGCCGGCGTTACCGGCGGGTGCTTGGGCCGTGAGGACGACATTATCAAGGCGCAGATCCGGGTAGTAGAAGCCGTGGCCCTGGTACCAGACGTGGCACATGGCCTCGGTAATCTGGCAGGCCCAGCGCAGTTGGTCGGCGTAGGTGAGCTGGCCGTGGATGCGCAGTAGAGGCAGGGCGTCGCGCAGCGAGCCAGCTTCGTAGTAGGGCATGGTGAAGCCAATAACGCCCAATTTTTTGCCAAAGAGGCATTCTTTGGAGATGACGTGCAGCGGGCGCGTGAGGACACCGTCGTGCGGCGGAATGTCCCTGAGCAGCGCACGCAGCTCCTGGTACAGGTATTTGACACCACTGGTGAGCGACTTGAGAATGACGAGCTCGGGCTCGAAAGACCTACCCTCGACCACACCTTCAAACGCGTCCTTGTCCCGGCTGGCTCGCTTGGCGTTGATGATCTTGTTGCCCTTCCTGCCCTTGCCGTGGTGCTTGTTTTTGCCCCCTCGCGTGACACGATCGCATTCGCCCTCGTCCTCGTCTGTGTTCTCCAACGCTACAGGCCAGGAGCAGACCTCGACGAGGCTGATGCTGTCGTGCATCTGACGCACCAGGCGCACATTGAGGATACTGATCTCCGGTGGCAGTGGCCGTTTTGTCTCTTTCTTAATTTCGGTCTCGGTCTCCCACGACTCCTCCTTGTCCTTGTTCTTTCCAGTACCAACGGCACCAGCACCATCGTCGCCGCCATCTGACAAGCCCCACATGTCTTTGAGCGCCCTGTAGGACATCAGGTCGCCTTCTAGGGCGTAGTTGAGCGACACGTTGACGCGGACCTTGTGGATGTGGCAGCACAGGTTCTCGATGAGAATCATTGAACCAAAGGGCCCGTTCTTGTACAGACTCTCCACCGTCTCGGGCTGCAGGGCGCCCTTTGGATGTACTGTGTGCCACTGAAGAATGCGCAAGATGTACCGGGCGATGCCGAGGCGGCGCACACGAGGCGCGTCCTTTGTGTGGTAGGACGGGCTCATGTCCAGCAGCTCGCGCAGCAGGGGCGGGTAAGCCGTCTGCTCCTTAATAAAAACATCGAGGTGCATGGGCGGCGGTCCGCCGGACTCGAGGAAGAGCGGGTAGGCGTAGAACTGCGTACCAAAACCGGCGCTGCCGTCGATGCGCCACAGGGGCCTGGCGAGCGGCGCTAGGCTGTCGATGCGGTTCCGGGGGTTGAGCTGTGAATAGCGCCAGTCGGCGGCGTCTATAACGAGCTCGTTGGCGTCTTCCTCGCCAGATGAGGGTGTTTCGTAGCCCTGGCCATAGTCGCCAAAGTGACTGCTGAGGTCGCTGTCGCTGGCAGTCTCTTCGCAGAAGGCGGCCGTCGCATGGACGACATCATGGATGGCACCGAAACTGAATTCCATGTTGGGTCAGGAAACAATAGCGCCTCGTGCAGCGCCTCTGAGGCCGATGCTTGGCCAAGAGAGATACCTTGGTGTTCTCCGGTGTTGGGTGCTTCGAGATTTCCATCAGTTTCAAGAATCGATCCAAATGCGCTTGACAGACGCCGTGGAAGGAGCGCTGTGGATACTGCGATGACCACCGTCAGCTGGCAGCCTGCCCTTCTACCTGCGCTTGTGACTCCTTCCCTCCTCGACGGCCCTGCCTGGCCAAGAGTGAAGGCAGAGTGGACTAGGCTCACCTGGAAAGAGCACTGGGGAAGTCGGAACTCAAATTCACCTTCGCAGCTTCCGTTGTGATTTCCCTCTGGGATTCGCTAACTGTTGCTCAATCTCGTTCAAGTGGGCCCATTGTTTCCCGGGACAGAGGGAAAGAGGACAAAGAACAGCCGAAGGAAGGAACAACCAGTGTGCGTTTCGGTCAATAGATACGAGCAAACGAGTTGTGTGCGGTTTCGCGATTGCCGCCGAAACAGGAAAGAGCGGGCACAAGACCGGGAGTCGGAAGGAAGGCAAAAGTCAGGGGCTGCCCGGATCGCATTTCATCTCTGACAACGGTAGTAAAGCCCACCGAACAAAAGGACGCCAATGTCGTCATCACATTGGGACCACCGCATCCGAGTCTTCGGTTGTTCGTGATTGTATGTTGCCTTGTTTTATGTCCGCAGCAGCTGGCCGGAGGGTGGCTCTTTTTACGGGCCACTGCCGACATCTGATTGGTCGACGACGATCGTGAGATCCTCCTCACTTTTTCCACGTACGCTTCCCGTCTCCGGCTTTATTCTTCCATCTGGGAAAACATCACGGCGGCCGGCAGCAAGCTACACCAAGCGGCTACCAATTGAAAAGTCGAAGAATAACTGGAAAAGTACCGTGCCGCAACTAGGATTGGGGGCACCGCTCTGGCTGGCGTCGGGATAACGTTTCGAGACGAGCTCCAGCAACACGTCACGGGACATCATTTTCTCCCCACGGCCTTGAGCAGACAATAAAAGTCTATATTGTTTTTCTGCACATGGAAGGCAGGTGGAATTTCCGTGTAACCATATTTTGGGACGATATGAAGCGTTCTGGTCCGAATGGGTCACAGCAGGACGTGTGGCCTGGACATCCGCACAGCTAACCGAGGTCTCATCACATGTGACAAGATACACCGAGTGTTTTCACGGAAGCTCGATGTTGACGTTGAATCGCCAGACACTGCCTTGACTCGGACGTATCTAACGACTGGGGGTACAATTTAATGAGGCGAGAAAACAAACTGAGATATGCAGAAATAGATAGGAATGCGGAACAGCAGACGTGTATATAAGTATGGCAGTGCATTGTTTCACGTTGACGCTTATTTAGGGATGTGGCAGGTCCGTCATGCCGGCATCGATGAAGAAGATAACGGGGTAGACAAGGCGAATGAATGGACAGAATACGAGGGCGGGTGAGAGCGGAAGGGTGGAGGCGCAACACTGCAAAGGGAGCAAGGATGCCAAAGAAGCAAAACAGGAAGCAAAAGCAAACACAAGAGAGAAAGAAACCTTTCCCTTTTGTACTTGGTACTTGTCAATTGACAACCACGCCGAGTGACACTAAAAAACGGGTCGGTGGACCATACGGGCTGCATCCTGGCCGCAGCCCTCCCATTTCGTCATCGTCCATTGCCGGCCCCGTCCTCGCTCCGTGTCTCGGCACATGCTATCGCTGGGTTTTGGATTTTCGGTGCCGAGAAACGAAGAGGCGTAGTGACAGTACGAGCATTACATATGCATCGCACACCAACACCGATGCAGGCATATGCAAATTGGCACAGCGGTATGGAGGTGATGCATACGGTGGGGGAGGAGCAGTGGGAACACGACATGGGGGGGGGGGCTTGCTGTTTTGTTTATCCAATATCCAGCACCCAAATATGCCCGGCATCGTTTGACGTCGGCTGCAATAAAGCAGAAACGGCCACCGGTATGCACGCCCATCCATGACAATGTGCAATTTGCTGCAGTGAGATGCACTGCTGCAAGTCATGGAGGAGAAATACACGTATTGTGAGCACGGAATCAAACACAGAAACAAAGAAAAGGGGGGAACCAAAAAGAATGCAAACGGAGACGCAAGAGACAAAACTGCACTTTGACGACCCGTAGTAGTGACCTCGCATCGTGAAAGATACTGTCATGGGCCCGTTCCTTCCAGGAACAGGAACGCCACTTTTTTCTTTCGAACCCTGGAATACAAGCAACTCGCCGCCCCCATAACAATAACAAGGGCCGTCCTCACGCCACTTGACCGGTGAGACTTGATGCTGGAAATTAGACAACGAGCAGCCACGAATCGTCAATGTTGATGGAATAAACATACACATCTGCAGGGGACGGCTGAGAGGGGAGCGAGACCGGCCATTCTTCCATGTCGAGAAGACAATGAGCCCTCAATCACGTCCAATACGTCGACGCGCATGCACTGTGCAGTGTCCATTGCTCCATTCTTTGAACACTCGCTGTCTTGTTCGTCGGCCTCCGGGCATATTCTGTAGATGCTGCCAACGGCAGGTAATCATTCAGGACCAGGAGCCGGTCAGCCTGGCTGAACGGGCCTGGTGGGAGACGTGGTGTCTGCTGTTTCGAGAGGAGCATGCACGAAGAACAAAATGTTCAGCTTGCGTGCCGCACGCATCATGTAACTGTGCCCTGTTTGTACAAAGTCAGAATATGCGTCGTGAAAATTGTGCATAGTGAGCGTAGATGCAGAGGGGGAGCCAACTTAGCTGTGAGGTCGGTCCAGACTCACCTTTGGTCTTTATCATTAGCTTGGAGCTTTCTCTCTTTTTCTTTCTTTTTTCTCTCCTATTTACTTCCCAGTCCACTCTCTTTCTCGGTACATGGATCCTATTAGGTGTGTGTGTATGGGTATATATGTGTGTGTGCCCGTTTCGTTCATCTTGACTGTCCTATTTTCAATTCCTTGACCGGTCGGATGCACGTTTTGTCGTCCCCGGACAGGAGGGTAGGGTTTTGGGAAGCCCAAGGGTGCAAAAGCGTAATGGTGGCCACCCTCCTTTTTGTGTCGTTTGGCTTCTTTTCCTTACATTCGGATCCTCCCCTTACCAACTCAGACCTACTTTCAATTAAAGAAATGGAATGGGAAGCCTTGGGAGCCAAACGAACAGAGGGACAGGGGAATAATTCACCAAAGGTTGCGGCCCAGGACAACGAGGTGTTGTCGTACAACAGAACGGCCCACACGACGAGCAAACACAACAAAAACGTCGGGCTTTCATCATTTTACAGTTTCTATGTTCTCCTCTTTGACTCTCACTCCCCGATTTTTATTATTTCTGACATGTGGCGACGCGTGGTGGGAGAGAAGACGGTTGCGGAGCCGGCCGAAATGCAAGTCATTGTAGATGTGATTGTCACACAATGCTTGGAAAAAGAAATCTTGTGGGAAGTTGGACGAGGGACGCAATATCGTCAAAACTGTGTGGGAGACAGGGAGAGAGAAAAGAGAAAAGAGCCCAACAAAATACAATCAAATCAAATATTAAGAGTATTAATACTAGGAGCAGCATCCATGGATCATTGCATCTGCAATATGCAGAAATCCACTGCACATGTGAGAGACCTCACCGAGTTGCTTGGCCCCCTCCCCCCCTTTCCCCTTTGCTTAGTACGAGATGCATTGTTATAATATTTCAAGTCAGGTCCTCCCACAAAGTTTTGTTCTTTTAACAACACTTTGGGGAAATAAATCCCCAATCTGTGCCAAAATAGGAAAGTAAAGAAACATACACTGCATGAACATCAATAAATCGGGGAAAATATATAAATCAACCAAAATCGCAAAAAGGAGAGCCCTCCTTTTTCTTTACATAAACTGTTGCAATATAAAACCTATGACATGGGGATAAGAGCCTCATACGTGTCGTAGTCAAACATGCCTTGAAACTCGTTAATGAAAGCAAAATCGCACGGATCATTGAAAATGGAAGATACTGTGAGCAACATATTCGAAAACCCAGAGAAAACAATATTTGGAGTTGTTAAGATTGAATTCGTATTAGCAATACGAGTTTGCAACCTTTGATGCTGGGTTTGGTTTTGTTATGACCCTGCCTTATTGTCAACCTCGCGTGGAAATAAAAAACAACGCAAAGTCAACCTGGCGTAAAACCAGAGACCCCCTCTCCTTGGGCAAAAGTCCGAGATCGTTGCTGAGGACGAAAGTTGACAAATGGGGGGTAATTACATAGTTGTTAAGAAAGTCTACGGAGCGGTTGACAGTCACATTGCATTCAGCCTCACCAAGCAGCGAAGGGGTTGTTCCTGGGACTCCTAACGCTTACCGACGTGGGCGGTCTCTACGACGTTCCTTTTAGGCCTTTATTTCGCACTCTGTATTCCATTTGTCCAGAAACTGGAAATGTCCTCCAAAAAAATGGACGACAGGACCAGACTGATTCATCCCATTGCAACTTTCCAAGCGCAATACATCAAGATTTTTGGGTTTTGGTAGATCCCTCTGCATCTCATATTACTTGCTGTGCCGATGACAGGGCCCGAGGTGGAGGTAGAAACGGTCAGGCCCCACAGTATCCAGCCAAATGATCATGACGGGCAGTGTGAGAGGTGTTTTGGTCCGTGGGTAAGCCGGACAAGTGTTTGGCCATCCTAGGCGCAGCACAGATACTCTCCTCCGCGTGGAAATGCGTCAGGTGGCACTGAGGGGTGGACGAGGACGAGTTCGGAGGGACAGCACAACCCCGGTTGTTCATTTTTCTCGTCGTGTATGGATTTGTCTCCCTCCTATTGTCCACTCTGCTGTTTCTCACACTGCTTTGGCGCCAGGAACAGGAGAAAACAAAGTCGGAGTGCCTTAGCTGCATTATCGCGGTGAGGAGTCGTACTACTCCATCGGGTGGTTTAAGCGTAGGCATAGGAGTCGAGAGGGGCCCAAAAACGGCATTGGATTGTGAATGGTGTGTTTTTATGCATATCCAGTGGTCTGATGAATGCCCGGGTAGTCGTGTGTGCTGCACATGTGTCTGACATACGTTGCGTATGCAGTGTAATTCATGAACCAGAAAATCAAACAACCGGGAAGACTGATCACTTAGGTACCAACAAAGGCTTGAGCCTGCTGGCACACAACTCGAAGCTGTTGCTGGTGCGTGCGAGTGAGCCGGATAACTTATGTTCTGGACCCAATATGTATCGTGTGGGGAGAGAAATGGGATGCTGTATGATGATGTGGGCAAAGGCGAGATGAAGAGGAGCTTGGTGGCCGCTTTCGATAACGGCCTTGTCATTGATGTTTACCTTACCTTTACTCAGCCTCCCACCACATATCGACTTTGGTTCCTTTCTTCTGTGTCTGGATGTGCTCGTGAGAGCCTTGATCTTGGCATTTTCGCTAACGAGCCGCAGGGTTGGCCCCATGCTCGAATACTGCTTGCATTAACTTACCGGTTTGTTTTGATCAAATATGAGCACGCCTCGTCCCGTTGGCCATCTTCGTAATGAGGGGCCGAGGACAGCTAAGACTTCATTTAGTGAAGGCTGATCTCGCGATCGGCCAAATTGGTCATATTTGTGCTTTCTTTTGTCATTCTTATCTTGCCGATCTTTTGTCGATTTTATCCGTGGCCTGAGAAGCCCACGTGCTAGGCTTTTGTCGATGGAGAATGTCACATTGGCCACTCATTCGATATTCGCCATCCGTTGCATGAATGGTCTCCACCGCTTTTGTGGTGAAAGCTTTGCATGCGAGCGCTTCAGTTCGCCATCAAAGTCTCACCAGTTAATCCGACCGTGACAAGGTACTTCTTGGTTCCCGCTATCTTGCTGGGAAATGCACCGTAGTCTTGCCGGCTTAAGCCTTCAGACCCTGGACCGGTCTTTAGCTAACCCGTCGAGAGTCCCTTGATGTACTCCCGACACACGTGTCCGGGCCAGAAAAAGTAGGACTTGAG